CAAAATTTGGATGCTTGGCAACTGACATGCATTTATGACAGTTGCAGTGTCCCAGGGTCATGGGATCTCCTTTTTGCGAACTTCTGTAAAGCAAAGTCAGTGGGGAATCCAGATTCACTCAACAACCTTGTGGCTAACTTAACCTCTGCAATGATTCACTTAAGAAGGGTGGCAAGAAAGGTCATCAAAATAAGGCAAAACTCACTTAACAACCATCTTGCTTAGGAACATAAATTTTGGGTTCAGTTACGGAGAAGGACTTACCTATATTACCTAGGCCACCTTTGGTTCCTAAAGAAAAGGTGGACTTTGCCTTTAACCAAAAACAACAACAACCGCTCAATCATGACTTTGGGCAAGCTGGGGACAACAGGGTTGCTGGGAGTTGCCAAGTTCAATGCCCGGAAAGGTGCAGCTGAAAGCGGAACAAGTTACATTGTGTGTAACCCACCAGCACAACTTGTACAGGCTCCAGCAACGTGGGTGGAAACACACATTCTGGGGCTTTTTTTTTTTTTTTTTGCAACCGCGCTAACGTGGCTCAAGAGCAAAACGGATGTTTACAAACGCTAAACGTATTTATTTACCCTTTAAAGGAGTGCAATAGCTGTAGCCCTACCCGCTTTTGGCAAGGCAACGCCACTACTCTAGATCAAAGCAAACGGCAGGCCTCTTGGAAAGAGGAAAAGGGGAGAGGGGGGGAAAAAGGCTTTCGGGGTTTAAGCCCCGAAGCCAGGCGACCCCTAGCGTCCTCTCTTCGGATCCAGCGGTCCCCGAGCTCCGGGGGAAGAGCGGAGGACCCCAAGGCCGAACCGAACACACGTGTCCCTTGGCCTGGCCCCCACCGTGGAAAAATAAACTTGCCCCAAACTCCACTCGAGAAATCCGCTGCTCCGAAACGCTGCTGGGGATTCAGAGCTCGATTCCTCCGCTCGCTCCTTGTCCCGCTGGGCCGAACTCCGGATTCCTTCTGGAGACTTGGCGCCCCGCCGGTCAAGCCCGCCTGCGGTCCGAGGAAAGCGCGCTCTCTTGGTGGCGGCGGCGATGACACACACGCCTTCGCCTTGGAGAGATCCCCGGGAGAGGAGGATCCGCGTCTCACGACCTCGTCCCACAGCGCCCGAGGCCAAAAAAAAGGACGAAGCCGGGAAGGCGCCCCGGTCCGCTCTCGCTCCGGACTTGGTGACGCGCCGATGCCGATGCCGATAACCTTCCCTGCCCTCTTCGGAATGAGGCTCCGAGGCGGCTCCCTCGCCGGTGCGCCTTCCAGGATGCTCCGATTGGAGGTCGTGGTGCGCAGGTACCGCCGCGATGGCCCTGCCCACTCCCGCACCACTGGAGGGCTTGGCTCCGGCCGCTCGAGTTAGCTGGAAGGGCGTGGAGCTTCCTCTGCCCCTCTCCTAGGGCGCTGGAGTACAAATCCCTTGGTCCTCAGCCGTCAGGACCGTTCGTTGGCATGAAGAAGCCTGTGGTGTTTACTAATACCACTTTGTGTTTTTAAATATTTAGAATAAAAAGAAGTAAACCACGAAATACAGGTAGTCCTCGACTTAAAGGTAAATTCCCCTCGCACATATGTGCTAGTCGTTCCCGACTCTAGGGAGGGGGGGGGTCCTCATCAAAGCCAAAGAACCATTGCTGTCTCCGTGGTCATGTGACTGGCATGACTAGCTGTTACCTTCCCACCAAAGGTGGTTCCTATTTTTCTGCTTGCATTTTTACATGCTTTTGAATTGCTAGGTTGGCAGGAGCTGGGACAAGTAACAGGAGCTCACTCCCTGCCGACCTTTCTGATCAACAAGCTCAGCATCTTAGCCACTGAGCCACCACCTCCCTTTGTTTTCAACTTACTGCAGTAAGTTGAAAGTTACTGTTGCCCTGAAAAATTTATAACAGTTTTTCAGTTTAGACCAGGGGTGTCAAACTCAAGTTGTCACCATCGCATTACATGATATATCAGGACTCCCCCCCCCTTCGCTAAATGGCATGGGCTGGCCAGCATGTGACGCATCTGGCCTGTGGGCCGGGAGTTTGACTGTTCTGGTTTAGACCATTGCAGCATCCGCTTGATCGGAAGCTTGGCAACTGACTCATATTTATGACGGTTGTAGTGTCCCGGGATCATTTTGAGACCCGTCTTGACAAGCAAAGTCAATGCAGAAGCCAGCTTCCCTTAACAACCATGTTACTAACAACACCTGCAATGATTCACTTAACAACTGTGGCAAGGAGGGTCATATATTGGGGTGAAACTGTCTTGCCAACTGTCTCAGACACATAAATTTGGGGATCAATTGTGTTCGTAAGTCAAGGACTACCTGTACTGACTACCTTGTTTATTTATATCCCATCTTTTTATTTTTATAATAACTCAAGGCAGGGCAATTCCTGAATAGACTCCTTCCTATTTCCCCCGCAACCACCGCCCTGTTGTTTAGTTGAGGAAAACTAGCACGAAGACAACTTCCAGCTGTTTGCAGGATTTCCAATTTTTTATAATTAACTATTGTAATGACGTAAACAATACAATCTTGCATCTATACTGATGTGTGTAACTATAGTAGTCTAAAACGGAAGATGTTTTGGGAAATCTATAAATACTATGTCAGGAGGAAGGTCTTTACCACTCCTTTATAGGTAAAGCCAAAATGCAGATTAGGCTAATTGATATACTAAGGCAGGAGGAATTGTATTAAGTCAGTCATAATGACTGGTATTTGTTAGATTTATAACCTACCTTTTCCTCCAAGAGTGTGAGGTTGTGCATTTGAGCACTATAATTACAACTACAACTGAGCCCAACATTTCTGTTGCTAGGGAAGAGTTAAGTGAGTTTTGCCTCCTTTTCCGGCTTTCTAGCCACAGTTAAGTGAATTACTGCAATTGTTAAATTAGTAACCGATGTTAAGTGAATCTGGCTTTCTCATTCCCAAAAAGGGATCGCATGACTCTGGGACATTGCAACTGTCATAAACATGAACCAGTTGCTAAGTATCTGAATTTGATTATGGTAAATGACCATAAGGATGCTGCAACAGTCTGGTGAAAAACAATCGTGCCACTTTTTACAGTAATTTAACTTCAGTCACTAAACAAATGGTTTAGTTGAGGACTACCTGTACTGTAACTACAAGTAATCCTTGACTTACGGCCACAATTGAGCCCCAACTTTCTGTTAAGTGAGACATTTGTTAAGTGAGTTTTGTCCCGTTTTACAATCTTTCTTGTCACAATTATTAAGTGAATCATCACAGTTGTTAAATTAGAAACAGGTGTTAAGTGAATCTAGCTTCTCCATTGACTTTGCTGGTCAGAAGTAAAAAAAGGTGGTCAAATGTCCACAGGACATTACAACAGTCATAAATATGAACCAATTGCCAAGGATCGGAATTTTGATCACGTGATGATGGGGATGCTGCAGTCGTCATAAGTGTGAAAAATGGCAGTAAGTGACTTTTTTCAGTGCTGTTTCAACTTTGAATGGTCTCTAAATGAACTGTTGTAAGTCAAGGACTACCTGTACTGAACTGCATTGCACAATTAAACTTGAATGGAAATCCTGCTGAATTGAGTCCTCCAAACCTTTGTGTAAACATAATAAAAAGTGAGCACCAAATAGCTAATTCACATAAAGGAAGTTAAAGGAAGAATTAAGAGTTTGTGAAGTTTTCCCCTCTTCTCAATCCAGAGACTCTGTATCAATCCTAATTTACTTGATTGTCTGATTAAATTTAACGAAGAAAACACTGGAAGCCACACAATAGCACTCAACTAGTCTATCCTACTCTTTTGGAGGAGCAACACCGAGTAGAAAGCTCTGAGTGGAGCACCAGGAATAGATCCTGAATCTTTAATAACACAATTAAAATAAGTGAACATGGATTAACAAGGATTCCTATAATTATTTTGCTTTACTGTACCTTAATGAATCAGCCTCTCCATTTATGACACAATTGGTAATAAAAATGACAGGATGCATTTAAAATTGTAGCAATACAGGTAGTCCTCAACTTACAACCACAACTGAGCACAATGTTTCTGTTGCTAAGTGAGACACTTAAGTGAATGTTGCCCCATTTTATGACCTTTCCTGCCACATTTGTTAAATGAGCCACTGGAGTTATGTTAGTGACACTGTTGTAAAGTGAATCTGGCTTCCCTATTGACTTTGCTTGTCAGAAGGTTGTAAAAGGCAATCACATGACCCCGGGACACTGGAATGGTCATAAACATGAATCAGTTGCCAAGCATCTGAATTTTGATCACCTGGCCCATGGAGTTACTGCAATGATTTTAAGTGTGAAAAATGGTGATAAGTCACTTTTTCAGTGCCATTATAACTTTGAACGGTCAGTAAAATATCATAGCTAACATTCCTGGACAATTTTAATTAATCCCAGAGAATGTTCAGATCTTGAGTGTTGTTACATGAAGTTAGCATTCAGTAAGAACTACCAAAATAACCTTGAATTTAAAATGGTCCCAAAATTATTGAAATGGGGAATTTCAAATTTGAATTGTTTTACACACCTCCATTCTTGACTGATACAAGTGTCTTTATTCAATTTATATTCAAGAATGTTAAGACAGTTAAAACTTTGGGGGAAGTACTATTTTAAATTAAAATTTAAAAGGAAGCCCTAGAAGATACAGCACTGTTTAATATACAACATTGTATTTGGACAGAACTGAGGCTGGCATTCAGAATCAGCCAGTGAAATGTCTGGAAAAAGTGATACTTTTATTAAAAGAAAACATCACGCCAACTAATTCTAATACACCCCAAACCATCTGTATTCATAGATGTTTTTAAAAGGGCTGCCATACATAAAACAGGCAACAAACCATGACATTGTAAAATAATGGCAGTTCTCTCTTCAAATTTTGTAATTTCTGCAATAAAATTGGCAGAATGCAGGCAAGTCCCAATGCAGAAAATCAATAACAGCTCTTAACAGGAAAGGGATTTTCCCATTCACCACCTTTAAACCCAAAGGTGGAATTTAAAACAATGGAAAAGAATGTCTTGTTATATTCATTTGAAGCATGTTGGTAGGAATTTCCTTTCTAGAAGTGTGTTGGTTCTCGAGTTTCATATATATTTCCCATGTATCACACTGAATTCTGTGGAACTTCAAAAATAAATGTACTTTGGAATCAGATTTAATACAGTGATCAATCAATTACAGGAATATGTAATTTCAATTTAATCATGTCTTCCAAAATGATCAAAATGCTTAACCTGTCTATCATATTCCAGAAAGCCAGATTGGATATTGAACAAAGTGATACTGTTGGAGGGGGGGGGAAGGTATATTACATTGACAAATTTTCGTTTGATCAAAGCTATCCTGGCACAGTTGTTTGTCAGTTATTGTTGGTGGGCTAATTTATTATATAATGTCTAAATCTAAATCAAAAAGAACTGGGGTAGCAGGGAAAGAAAGGAAGTTTTGGTACAGGGCTAAGAGAGAACAGAGACAAAAATATGTGTATCTCTGATTTGTAGTAAGTTTCCATAAAACAAATCCATTTGGGGCAAACACAAAACTGACACATTTGTTTGAAATTTTTTTCCAAACACTGGGTTCTCGTTTTCACCATTATCAGTGCAATCAGCTTTCAATAATTCAATAGTATCTTAGTAATGACCTGGGGGAAGGAAGGAATAGAAGAGTTTGAATCCAGTGTATTACTTATCAGTGAGTATCTTGATTAAAATGGTTTTAGGTTTGTTGTAGTAATTTTCCCATTCCAAGGAACATCCATAATACAAAAAATTTGCAATAAGTTTTTTCCCCATTATTTTTAGAAATCAGTACATTATTCCATCCGAGCTCTCAACTTCCCAAACTGACATTATTCAGCAGCGCTCCCTACAGGCCACTATGCAGAAATACAAAATTTTACTAATCTGCAGATATCCGTGTTTTTATAGCCAGTCCTTGCTTTCTGTATGCAAATTTAAAATGTTTATAGGCCAAACTGAGTAAGTGTGTAAGGGGAAGGAAAAAATGTGTTCCAGGTACAAGCAGAGGCTAACAAGCATTCATTATGGAATAATTTGTGTTGCAGCCCCGATTATACAGTATGTATAGAATGCAGTTCATTGCAAACTGAAATATGTCATATGCAATAGCCACTAGAGAACTCTCATTTTGTCAGTTCATTTGCATGTTTGAAACACAAAATACTTGCATTGCATGATTTTAATAAGAGACAATAGTGAAATCTGGAGGCGGGTGATTGTTACTATGGTCCAGTTATGGTCCTCCATATGTGATTGAACTTCAAGTCCTATTAGTTTCTGTCAGAATGGTAAATAAGGATCTCAAGCCAACATTTGCAGAGTCACACACTTCCAGCCCTACCCAGACTGCTGCATAAATGTATGCTAGACCCTCAGGAAGATCTCTAAAGAGGTCCAACCTCTGAAGATCTGGATTCTCCATCTTCAAAACCGGAAAATGTGCATGTGACAGCAATGCCTAAAAGATTCCCCAAGACTGGGAGTTGGTTGCAATTTATTAAATATCTTTACCACTTCCCTTGCAAAAGGTATACGCTCATTAGCAAAAAATGAGCAATTTTCACACACTGTTAAGTTGTTCATTTTGCTACCCAATGTGTTTGGCAGTATTTACAGATGTCTTATTTACAAACTCATACAAGGTACCTTGTGAACGATGAATTGGGAGTATTTTTTTTTCACCTTAAGCCAACACCATTGTATTTTTTAAACTCAACTGACATTTCTTTTCCCCTGGTGAATTTCAGTAGAAATGTCCAAGGTGCAAATATGTGTAATTTTTCCATGCCCCTCCTAAGGTGATCAAATTTCAGGGAATAGCTGTATGTATAAGATGGCTGAAATTTTATGAATACTCTTTGGGGAAACAAAACCTTACTCAAATAAGCAAAACTATGTCAAATAAAGATGAATAGCTTGGGCTAATAATTATACATATTTTCTGTAACTTATTCTAAGAACATTTGTTATAAAGTACTTCTATACCCTATTATCCATTTCAAATCCCTTTATTTTTCATTTAGATAAAACTTGTGCTGCTTGAATTTTAAGGTGTTGTGTTTTTTTTAAAAAAAAACCAAACCTAACTAAATCTGCTGGGTTTGGTTCTTCTACTGTCTTCTGCTACATAGAATCATATTCGCGTAGGGCAGGCTCAAGGTTTTAAGCGAAGTAATTATTTGATGTTAACTGATCTAGCATACGTAGCCCTATCTTTCTCAGTAGACTATCAAGAGTCCAAGAGCTAAGCCTGGTTTATTAGGCACTTTAGAGGAAACTTTCTGAACTCAAAAGTATCCGAAGTAGCCATCTCATCTGCTTCTAAGTCTGGGCTACCTATGAGTCGGTGCTTTACCTTCCCGCTTGCAAAAGGATATTTACACTTTTCAAAGTTACCTCGTATTTCTATTATCATTCGGCATGTATTTAAATCACAATGAAGCAGCAAGCTCATCTAATACACTGATTTTTGTTTACTTACATTAAATACATTGGTAAATCAGCAGTTGAATTCTGTTACCATGATTTGTTATTTTAAATGCAATATGAGAGTTTTCTCAGAAGGAAAAAAAATAAAAGAGTTCTGATCAGATGAGAAGAGTAAGTTGAAGAAAAAGGGGGGATTGCTCTGTTTAGAAAAAGCTGCAGTGTCCTCACTTGGTCTAAGACCTAATAGTGAATTAGTAAAAACAAGTGGTAGGCAATAACTGAACGAAATGGATTTGCTTGTTACTTAAATATAAAATCTATTTTTTCATTGTCATGAGCTGAGCACAGTGCAGTATTTCAGCTTTATTGAAGAGGGAAAGGACATGCTTAGGACTCCTCCTGGGTTCTCCATAAGGACTGCAAGTGTCATTGTATGCGATGGAATCAGAGCACCATCAACAAAGAAGAGTTTTGCAGTTAATGAATTGTAAGATGTCATTTCAGGATTCATGTCGAACTATAGGGGTTTGAACAAAAAGGGGATTAGATCTGAAACAGATCAGTACTGAAAAATTCTTAAAGTCATGTAGATGATCCCAGATAGCTTTATAAACTATATGAACCTTTCTAAAGAAAAGTCAGATTAAACCTGCAGAAGTAACTGTGCATGTAAATTGGGTGAAAGAAGATGTGACAGCACTCATATCTCTACAGCATGTTGCTGAAGAATTAAAGCTGCAGCCTGATCTGATTCCCCCATTCATTGTTTTCAGATCAATAAAGCCACATGTGGAGATAACTAGCCTTTATAATGGCAGCACAACCGTGCTGTGTGCCAGCAGCAGTGTCGAGTTTAACAGTTTCCACATAAGGCTACAGGGTGGCCTGGAGTTCAGATGCTAAATGCGCACACTGATTAAATGGACATCAGTACTTAAGTTACACCAGTGAATGGGAGAAAATGCAAGTCTTTATACAGAATATAGGAGGACATTATGTACAAATACAGTATTAAAATGCATGGGCAAATAATGGAGAATTGATGTCGTGTGTGTGTGTGTGTGTGTGTGTGTGTCCGTGTCCATGTGTGTATCAAACCCATGTCAAGCTGCTGTTGTAGAACATTCAACCATGTGAGAAATTTGCATGGAGTAAACGTAATACATCCAAGAAAAGCTCCCTAAACCAGTTCTANTCAAGTTAAGCTCCTCAATGCAGGGGCAGCGTCCCGACGCCCCAGCTTTCCGAAATCCCTCTGCTCCCTTCCATTCAAATAAGTACACCTGGGCAGCTTTCGGCCTATTTACACCCGCTCCTTGAGTTTTCTGCTCCCAAGAGATACGGGGCGGCAGCCGGAGAGGGGGCAATTACACAGGGCATCTTGTTTTGCATGCCCAGCTGGACAACTCCCCCGGTGCCACCAGCTTCTTTAATGCACGGTGGCTGATGGCTGTGTGTGTGTGTTTGTTTGTTTGTCTGTGTGTTTCTTGCCAAAGAAATTGCTGCTGCTGCTACCTGTATTACTACTGAGGCTGCCAGACTGCCCGTGTGGAGGAAGGAGAAGTGCGGGCAGTCCGGCAGCCTCAGTAATAGTAGTACAGGAAACTTCCCAAACTTCCAGTATGTGCGTTGGGTTATTTTTCACCTCCACAGAGTGAAAAAGAAAGCTAATATCAGCTGGCCAGCACACGCATGCACGCTGGCGATGTAAGGCCAATGCCTCGTATGCCCTAAGAAATGGCTCTGCATGCCACCTCTGGCACACGTGCCATAGGTTCGCCATCACGGCTCTAGGCTATCTCAATTTTCTTTCATCCAAAGAAAGGCAGAGCTAACATCATTTACCTGGACATGTGGTTTAGCCTTACAGAATTATAGATGCCACTACCTTACCATGAACTAACTAACTTCTGTTCAAAGTTAATGTTAATCAAAAGATATCACTTACTTCATAGTCTACCATGCGCTTGTTGGCAAGATCAGCCTTATTTCCTGCTAAGGCTATAACAATATTTGGGCTAGCTTGCCGTTGGAGTTCTTTCACCCATGTTTTTGCTCGTGCAAATGTTTCCTTTCAGAAAAGACAGAGAACAGAACGTCAAAAATAGAGAAAAGAAAAATGTACTTCTAAATTACTACCAATATTTCAGAAGTTACTCAAACTGACTATTTTTTGTATAAAAGGAGACCTTCTGGATTTAAAGGTAGGTGTAATGAAAAGATGACATCACAAAGGCAATATTCTTCTCCTATTATTAATCTGAGTTGAGGGAGTCCTCAATTTATTACCATAATGGAGCCTGCCCATTGTAGGTTAAGTTATGATAATTGTAAAGCATATCATCATGCGACTGACCCTATTTTACATTTTTTTGTGGTGAGGGTTAAATGAACTCATTGTTCACCATGTCCAAAATGGAGTCTCATGACTACGCCCTCAAAATTTCAGAACCAAGTTGTAAGTAGCTTTTGGGAGAATTGTTAACCTCAAAAGGTTGCTAAGAAACCAGTTGTAAGTCAAGGACTACCACAGCTCAGATCAAGTGGCAAATTCCCCCCCCCCNACAGTTTGATTTCACAGAAGTGTGATTGACTTGGAGTTACATTGTGTTGTTGAAGTGTTCCCTTTATTTTTTTGAGCAGTATTTATTATTATCACTTCCTAGTGAGATTGTATGATACTATGTTATGACAACAAGTAGTACATTGCTGTGAATTGCTGGTCATAACTGTGATAAAAAAACTGCTAATTTTAATAGTGAACATCCAAGTAATTGCATTCCAACACTTACTTTGCATCACAATTTCAAGTACATAAACCATCTTTGTTGTCATCATTTTGAAGTTATTTTTTTCCAAAAATGATTGAGGGATTCTTTATTCTGTAGATCTGAGCCTTTTTCTTGTTGCTTTATCATTTGCAAACCTCCCTTTCTTAAATTTTAATCTTCCTCACATTCCCAACTACAATATTTATATACTGTGACTATTCAGAACTGACATTATGTTGTTCCTTTGGACCAAATGATCAGTGTAAGGGTATCTCCCAAGTAGTAATTCCCTCTTATGTGTAAAGTACAGCAACAAAGGTAGCTCAAGGTAAAAGCCTTATCACAAAATGTGGCAAATCTGCTTTATATTAGAGGTATGTAAAGTATTAAGTATAAAATAAAACAGAACATTTGTTAAAAAAAAATGGGGGGGGGAGGGAGGGGGAATCCTTCAAAGCAGAAACTCTAAAGGTTAATCCTAGTTCTCTCTCATTAAAAGGACAAAGCTAAAAGATATTTGCCCCAGGAATCAGAAAGACAGAGTCGAAAATACTAAACCAGATGGTTCCAAATTCTGATTCAGTATTAGCTTAGCCCAATAGTGGTCAGTCTTATTCTTGTCCAAAAGCTAACAAATGGGCAAATACCATACAAAATAGAGATTAAGTCATGGAATTCCAACTGGACATCCTAGAGGAAAGCTCTAGGCCAGCGATGGCAAACCGTGCCAAAAGCGGGGGAAGCACAGGGGGGGGGTCATGCACTGGCGTACCACACCCATAATGATATGCACATGACCCCCACACATGCATGCGCGCATGACCCACCCTCCCATTTTTGCGGATGGACACATTTTTCGCCCTCCCCAGGCTCCAGAGGCTTACTAGGAGCCTTGGGAGGGCAAAAATAGCCTCCCCCACCCCCCCAGAGGCCCTCCGGAGGCTTCAGGGAAGAGCAAGAGAGAAAGAGAGAAGGGAGATGGGGGGGTGTATGTATGTATGCATTTGGAGATAAATGAAATCAAAAGTAAATGCAAGCAAGAAATATGGAATTTGGCTCAGATCACTAGAGCCAATCCTGCTGCCTGGAAAGCAAGTTCTTTGGAACAAGAATCATATGGTTCTCAACACAGCCACGGGTTTGCTGTGGCCACTTGTGACTGTCTCATCCTTAGCTCGGACTTACTCCACGTTATCTCAGAAGAACTTCATGCTGGGGGGGGGGGGGGGGGAGAGATCCACTGCTTGCCATCG